AAGGAAGGAAGGAAGGAAGGAAGGAAGGAAGGAAGGAAGGAAGGAAAGTGTGCAAGGCTCAGAGATTAAATAGTGTGCTCAAGGTGAGTAAAAGGCTGACATACAAGCCTTACTCAGTCTAGAAGATTCTCTGTCACACTTGGTTGTGTAGCTGGAGGGAACCATGAAGATTCTCGGGGGGGGATGGATTTTGTTGCCTGGTCTAGCAGTACCAAACTCTACTTGACTGTTGTTTCACTCACTCAGCTTGACTGCCTGTCTGTGTCTAGAACATTGAAGGCACTTGGGGGAGGACAATGGGGCACTGATGGTCGCCATGGAGGAAGGAAGACAAGCAGGGAGGAAAGAAACAGGCACAAAGGGAGGCCAGTCTCAGTAGCAGAGACATCTGCCTGAAGTGATGAGAGGCCTGGGACTTGGGGTTCATTGCTAGTCTGTTGGCTCAGCCCTGTATTTTCCTTTTACAGGGCTGATCCGGTCCCGGGTTCGTGGGGCAGATGTGGCAGCAGCCACCATCCTCACCTTTCTGGATAGCCACTGTGAGGTCAACGTGGAGTGGCTGCAGCCAATGCTACAGCGGGTGACAGAGGTGAGCTGCCTGTCTGAGGGAGCTGGGCCTCTTCAGAAGGCTTCTCCTGTACTCCCAGCCCTCACTGTCCATGGAGCTAGGCTAGCATCATAAGAGGCCTAGGTCTGCTTTGCCTGAGTGACTTTACCTCACCTAGCTGTCACACCTGAAAACAGCGATAATTGTCATGTTTGTCTCATACACACACCCTGTCTCCACTCCTTGGAGTGGGGTGAGAATCACATTGTATGAAAGCTTGGTGAGCTAGGAAGCCCACACCATCATGGGTGCTGCCCTTCTGAGAGAGACATGGGGGAGACTGTGGTCAGGCTGGGAAGCCAGAGGGAGGCAGGACAGACTGGAGTTTTCCACTAAAGGAGAAGAGAGAGCAGGGGGCTCCCGCCCGGTGCCTGTGGATCCTCAGAATGGGATAGTAGGAAAGGATATAGCAGTTATAACTCAAGTATAAGAAGGCTAAAAGCCCCGACTGGGTGTGTGGTACACTCAGGAGGCTGAGACGGGAGGATCATGAATCCAGGGGAGAAGAAAAGAGAAGGCGGAAGGGAAGACAAGCCCAAGTTTGAAAACAGGCAAAAGGGCTGGATAGATGTTCAGGGGTTAAGAGTGCTGGCTGCTCTTGCAGAGGACCCAGGTTCAATTCCCAGCACCCACATGGTGGCTAACAATCATCAGTAACTCCAATCCCAGGGGAGCTGATGCCCTCTTCTAACCTCCATATGCATTGCATGACACGGGTTCATTTACATACTTGCAGGCAATACACTTGTACACATAAAAAATAAAAATAATAAAATTTAGAAACAGGAGAAGAATTTGAAAGGGCATTTCTTTAAAGAACATACACAAATGGCCAATAGGCCATAGAAAGTCACTCAACATTGTTAATCATTCAAGAAATGCAACTTTAAGCCATGATGTGATAGTGCTTCAGACCTACAAGAATGGTTATAATAGCCATGCGTGGTGGTGCATGCCTTTAATCCCAGCACTCAGGAGGCAGAGGCAGGGGATCTCTGTGAGTTCTGGTGTATATAGCAAATTCCAGGTCAGCTGGGGCTACAGGGAGACCCTGTCTCAAAAAGACCAAAAAAAAAAAAAGAATGGTTTTAATAAAAGACAGACAATATTGCTGGCAGGATATGGGTAATCCACATGGATTGCTGGTAGGAATGTAAAATAATGCAGAGAGTTTGGAGAACAGTTTGGCAGACCCCTAAAAGTTTAAATAAAGCCACCCATGTGTCCCAGAAGTTCCCATGCTAGGTATACACTGAGGAGAAACAGAAACAAAAACTATATTCACACAAAAACTTCTGTGTTCAGAGCAATGCTATTTAGAATAGCCAACAGGCTGTGGTATATCCATACAGTAGAATATTATCCTGCCATGAAAACAAATGGAGTGTGTTACACTCTGAATGAATCTTGAAAACCTGTGAAGTGAAATAAGATAGTCAAAAAAGCTGTATATTATATGATTCCTTTTTGTTTGTTTGTTTGTTTGTTTGTTTGTTTGAGACAGGTTTCCCTGTAGCCCCAACTGGTCTGGAACTGGCTATATTGACCAGGCTGGTCTTAAACACAGAGATCCACCTGCCTCTGCCTCCCAAGTGCTGGGATTAAAGGTGTGCACCATCATGCCTGGCTTATATGATTCCAATTATAGGAAATGTCCAGAATAAGAAAATCCATAGAGGGGCTGGAGAGATGGCTCAGCGGTTAAGAACACTGGTTGTTCTTGCAGAAGACCCGGGTTTGAATCCCAGCACCCACATGGCTGCTAACTGTCGGTAACTCCAGTCCCAGGGGATCCGACAGCCTCTTCTGTCCTCTGCGGGCATTGCACGACAGGGGTGCACTTGCCTACATGCAGACAACACACACATACACATAAAATAAAAATAATAAAAATATTTTTTTAGAATTTTTTGTTTTATTTTTTTGGTCTTTTTGAGACAGGGTCTCCCTGTAGCCCCAGCTGCCAGGCTGGCCTTGAACTCACAGAGATCTGCCTGCCTCTGCCTCCCAAGTGCTGGGATTAAAGGCATGCGCCACCACACCTGGCTAAAACTAAATGTTTTTGAAAAAAGAAAAAAAAATAGAATTAAAAGAAAAATCCATAGAAACAGAAAGTAGGTTAGTTTCTTTGGGGAGGCTCTGACAGCCCCATGTTCCAAAGGTCCCTCTGCAGAGCTGGTAGCTGGACCTCTTTTTGCAGGAGTCCCTGATGTCTCAGCATCTTATCCTCCTCTTCTAGGACCACACCCGTGTGGTGAGCCCTATCATCGATGTCATCAGTCTGGACAACTTTGCCTACCTTGCAGCATCTGCTGACCTTCGAGGAGGTGGGTCCTGCCCCCAGGGGAGGGGCTCTAGGCCTGAAAAGAGGCAGGTGAGGGCAGGCAAAAGCCTTGGCATGCTGCTCTTCTGTCCTTGATGCATTGCCAGTCCTTATTTCCAAAGAGAAAAATGAGGGGGGAAGAGGGGGAGCCCCGGGCTTAAGATGCAGTGAAGGTGTTTGCACAGGCAGTGTTTGGGCCAAGCTAGTCACTCATCCTTACATCCCCTAAACATGGGTGTGTCCTTCCCCAGTGCTGCCAACCTAGGGAGGAGCCACAGGCCCTGGGGTAAGTCCTTTAGGGCAGAGGGCCTAAGGAGGGTGGCCTCAGGTCCTGAGGGAAGTCTTCTCTAGGGGAAAGGTGGGAGCCTGTGGCCCTGCCTAAATTCCTAACACATACATCCCAGAGGTGCCACATCAGCTGCTCACGTTTGCCAGTGGCTCATCTTGAAGAGTGACTAGTCAGACTTGACATGGACTGTAAGTATAGAAAACCCACAGCAGTGGTTGGGATTTCTAAGACAGTGTGAATGAGCCCATTGGTGGTTTTGTATACTGCATGCTGAGATGATGTTTTAGATAGACTGTTAATTAATATTTTATTCAAATTTACCTCATATGTTTTTGTGTTTTCATGTGACTCCTGGACTGTTTTAAGTCATGTACGTGACTTGCTTTATGATCCTTTAGGACCACTGTGGACTCTAGCATTGGGACAGTAGACAATAGCCACATGTAACTGTTTAAATCAATTTAAATTAAATAAGATTTACAATTTGTGGGTTGGAGAGATGGTTCAGCAGTTAAGAGCACTGGCTACTCTTACAGAAGACTTGGGTTCAGTTCCCAGCACCTACATGGTGGCTAACAATCATGAGTAACTCCAGTCCCAGGGGATCTGACACCCTCTTCTGGCCTCCACAGGCATTACATACCTATGATGCCCTTACATACATGCAGGCAAAACAATTCAGTTCCTTATTGTTCTGGTTACATTTCAAGTGTTCAAGCCACACGAGGTTCTGACGACCCCACTGGGCCATGCAGAGGTAGAAAAAGTTCTATGGGATACTGCTGCTGTAGAGATTCTGTTACTAGAAGCTAGTGGGCAAGGGAGATTTCCTCTCTGGGGCTTGGTTACCCACTGAATAGACCCACCCATGAGTTAGACTTGGAATTGGGTGGGATTCTGAAGTCAGTCAGGCATTTCCCTTCTGAAAAGTCTCCTCAGGACCTTTGCACTTGCTGCTGCCCCTGTGTAGAATTCCCTTCCTCAGATATCTATATGGATTGCATTCTTCATTCAGATCTCTATTCAGAAGTCGCCTTGCCTTGTCAATGAACCTTACTAACCTTGATAAATAGTTAATAATTGACTCCCTACCTTATTTTTCCTTTTTAGCTCTGTTCACCTCTGTAGACACACCATACCTTTGCAGTGTTTGTCTTACCAGTAGGTTGGCAGTCCATGAGGCAGGCACATGTCTCCTGAGTGAAGGAACAACGGCACGGAGAGCTCAGAGCCTCCATCACCCCGCTCTGATTAAGAGAGACTGAGGAGTGGAGAGGGTATGGAGCCTTGTGTGGGCTCTGTCCCGAGCTCACCCTCACTCTGCTCTGCCCCTAGGATTTGACTGGAGCCTGCATTTCAAGTGGGAGCAGATCCCACTGGAACAAAAGATGACCCGGACAGACCCCACCAAGCCTATCAGGTCAGGCTGCCATGTACTCTGTGGAGCCTTTTCCTTTCTGGGACAGGGCACTGGGAGGCTTTAGGGAGGTGTCATCACTGGGGCTCCTGAGAGCTCCCAGTCTACGTGCTGACTCTGTCCTGAGCCCTCAGACATGCCTGTGGGGACAGAGAGGACAGAGACCATGGGAAGAGTTGTGAGGACCCCGAGTTGGCCAGGCCTCCTGCCCAGTGACTTCACAGGAAGGGAGTTAGGGGCAAATGGCATCGGGTTCTGCAGTTAGAAGAGAGGCTCCTAGCTTCTCCATCTCACGGTTGCACCTTCCCTCTCCTTGTCCACAGAACACCTGTTATAGCTGGGGGAATCTTCGTGATTGACAAGTCCTGGTTTAACCACTTGGGAAAGTATGATGCCCAGATGGACATCTGGGGAGGAGAGAATTTTGGTGAGTCAAGAAATAATTAACAGTAAAAACTCAACAGCAACACTAATAGCCCAGACTAAGCACAGTCTATGCTTCAGGCCTTCATCTTAAGAACTTGACACTAAGTCATTTCATTATCATAAGGACCCTTGGAGGTAATGGTATCCATTTTACTAATTAAAAGCAGAGGCACAGCTGGGTATGGTGGCACACGCCTTTAGTTCCAGCACGCAGGAGGCAGAGGCAGGTGGATCTTTGTTACATCCAGGCCAACCTGGTTTACATAGCGAGTTCCAGGCCAACCAGGGCTACCCTGTTTCAAAAGAAAAACAGAAAACAGAAAAGCAGAGGCACAGAGAGGTAAATTGATTTGTCTAGAGCTATGCAGCTAGACAAAAACTTTAGGTGTCCAGGGCCCTATGGCCACATGACTAGACGTGTGTGTGGAGGAACACATGACTGAATACAGCTTGAACTACAAGGCTATTTCCCTGCCAGAAGGACTAGGGAACAAGAAGTACAGCAGAGATGATGGTCATATGTAAGCAGAGTCAGAGGCCTGGGTGCAAGCCTTGGTCGGCTCCTTCAATCTGTTTGGTTCTGGGCCAATTAAGTCTCTCTGAGTCCCACTTCCTCCAGAGCTTGTTATGAGTAACAAATGAGGTGATGAGTTAAAATGCCTGGCACAGTGCTGTGGCTACTGTTGCTAAGTCAGGACCTCAGGGATGGGAGCTGCTTGGCCTCCCTGAAGCAGCGTGAGAGAAGGAAGGAGAGACAGATCAGGGCAACGCATTTTAGTGGGAACCTTGATTTGTTGCTTTGCCCCACCAGAGCATGGTAGAACGGTCACCAGGAGGAATTGGAGTCCAGGTTCCAGCGTAGGTATCCTGGGTACCCTGGGGGTGGCAGTTAAGTTTTGGAATCCCCGTTAAGTCACTTGAGAAAGAGCAAGGAAAAGTCCAGCCTCCTGGGGTGAGTCTGTGTATATCAGACTGGTGGGGGGTGAGGGGGAGGCAGCAGGGCACAGATTGGGCCTCTGCCTGGGCTCACTAAGGACACATTTACAGTGTGGGCTACATATAAGGACTGGTCAGCACAGTCCTGGGTGGCACTGTGGCCACAGGGAGCTATAGCCAGTCACTCTCAGGTCTGAAAAATGGAGGCAGGGCCGAACCTGGCTGTTGAGGGAAGGAAGCCCCTGGGGCTCAATCTACACAGAAGCCTCTGAGATAGAGAAGCCAGGGAGGGCAGAGAGCTATCCCAAGACCCTCTGGAGCAGCCTGGGAGATACAGAGCATTGGTCCTGTACCTGTAGCTCTTCCCACCATCTCTTTTTGCAGGGTTTCTGGACCAGGTTTCTGGAACAGTTGATAGGGCTGGTGGTCTCTTACTCGTATGCCACACTGGAAACAGATGATGTTGTTGCTTTCCAAATTCAGTCAAAAGTGCCATGTGGGACAGGCCAGAGCCCCTGAGGGGTCATGAGGCGGTCTTAACATCTGTGTCTGAGATGTTAGGTGGTGGGCCTTGTCCTCTCCACATGGCCAGAACAGGTGCACAGAGGAGCCAAAAGCAGGCTGTCCTTTTATTGGCCAATCAGGTGATTTTGTACCCTCTTCTGGCTCTTGGGGACCATTTCCAAGCAGTGTTCCCAGGAGTAAATTCTGGGGGCTGGAGCACAGTGAGCCTTGTATCCTCACTCCCTTTCAGGTGGTTGGAGCCCAGCTGACCCCCTTTGTGTCCAGGGTTTCAGCCTGAAGCCGGCTTTGGCAAAGCCAGTTTCCTGCGAAGACATGGTGGGCTGGGAAAGGCCCAACCTCCCTGCACAAAGACACGTCTCCTTTCTTTTTCTATTTTTCAGGCTGAGAACTGACAGAGAAACAAGTGAATGATCAAATAGCTCACTTCAAACTCTGCCTGAGGCAAGGGCTCCAGGGGCTGGGGAACTTAAAAGGCAAAGCCAGAAGTGGTTCTGCTAGGGTTTCGTTTCTTAGAAGAAATTCAAAGAAGTGTCTAGGCTGACTGCAGTACTCAGAGGGCCAGCTGCTGGGCCAGTTTTGAGCTGGGAGACCCCGTCTCTGGTGGCTTTGAGGTTTTCACTTTATTTCTTGTTGAAAGACAGAAGATACCCAAATTGAACTGCATTCCTGCATCCCTTGAGACATCCACACTTAGAATCCCAGAGGCCACCTCGAGTGGGGCTGACAAATCCAAAGACCTTGAGCATTAATTTCGGGGTCCTTCTACCCAAATTCTGCAAGGACTCCCGATGACATATATCTTTTAAAAATATTTTATTTATTATTTTATGTGTATGAGTGTATTGCCTGCGTGTATGTAAGTGCACCCGTGTCATGTGATGCCCATGGAGGTCAGAAGCAGGTATTAAATCCCCTGGAACTGGAGTTATAGATGGTTGTTAACTACCACACGGATGCTGGGAATCAAACCCAGGTCCTCTGCAAGAGCAGCCAGTACTCTTAACCACTGAGCCGTCTCTCCAGCCCCTTAAAAATTTGTTGTTGTTGTTGTTGTTGTTTTATTTTGTTTAAAAAAAAAAGGAGGAGGAAGGAAAGGAAGGACACAGAGACAGCCGTCTGAATTTTGTGGTGGCTGTGAGAATCATGCATTTTCAGCATGGTACGTAGTAGATGCTCAGTAAATGGTGGTGGTTTCTGCTGCTGTCATTGCCTTTGTAGATAATAATAATAATAATTCATAGTAGTAGGAATGGTATGGACTGAGTAAGATGAGGTAATTTCACTAGTGTAACAGTGGGTCTGGAAGAAACAGAACAGAGTGCAGCTCATCTGCCTCTAGTTCTAAATCTCAGCCACCAAGGTCAGCTGCAAAGCTCTGACTTGGAAAAGGGCAGGTGCCTGGCAGTTTATGGGCAGACCTAGGGAAGCTGGTGCTGTGTATGGACCCAGGTATGCCAAGAAGCAATCTTGGCCCTAAGTCTCAGCTACATGCCGCCCAGTGCACGCAACTAGCCAGAAGGGATGTTATCCCCACTCCTTCTACTCCTGCTGTGCTAGTCCTTGGGAGGGCCCCAAGCAGCCATGCCAGGTGAGGGCCCCAGGCCTGGTCATGGACCTCAAAGTCCTTAGGACCAACTAGGGACTGGGAAGAGGGACTAAATTAAGAATTCATAAGAAAACAGTTTCTCTCCTCTCTCTTCTCCCCCTCCCTCCTGGTCTTTTTGAGACAGGGTTTCCCTGTAACCCCTGACTTGGAACTCACTATGTAGACCAGGCTGGCCTTGAACTCACAGAGATTTTCATGCCTCTGCCTCCAGAGTGCTTGAATTAAAGGCATGTGCTACCATGCCCAGCTGTCTTTTTCTATCTCTTAAATTATGGATTTGCTGTGTAAGGAGGAGATGTAAGGGGTGTTTTACTATCACAGGGTATCCAACTAGAGGGTTAATATGAAGGAAAGTAGGAAGCCAGAAGAGAGACTGAGGCTCAGCCCAGGTGGGTCCTTGCCACAGATGGGGATTGGTGAGTAGAGAACAGAGAGGTGAAGCCCTTTGGGAAGCAGAGATCACTTCTTGCTTTTTTTTTTTTTTTTTGGTCTTTTTGAGACAGCGTCTCCCTGTAGCCCCAGCTGTCCTGGAACTCACTATGTAGACCAGGCTGGGCTTGAACTCATAGAGATCCGCCTGCCTCTGCCTCCCGAGTGCTGGGATTAAAGGTGTGTGCCACCATGCCCGACTCTTGCATATCTTTTTTTTAAAAAAAGATTTTATTCATTATTTTTATTTTGTGTGTATGAGTGTATTGCCTGCATGTATGCATGTATGTGAGTGCACCCATGGCATGTAATGCTGCAGAGGTCAGAAGAGGGCTTCAGATTCCCCTGGAACTGGAGTTAAGGATGGTTCGTAGCCACCATGTGGGTGCTGGGAATCAAACCCGGGTCCTCTGCAAGAGCAGTCAGTGCTCTTAACTGCTGAGCCATCTCTCCAGCCCCACTTCTTGCATATCTCTAGTGGGGACCTCAGTCATTCACAAAAAAAAAAAAAAGTGTTTGGCTCCATCACCACCCTCAGAAGGAAGTGTTTCTCAAAAAGGTCAGAAATAGCCCGACACAGACTCCTTGGAGGCAGGTCTGGGCAGCTAGAGATGTGGCTGGAGCAGCCTGAGGTTTTGTCAATGGCTGGTTTATGGCCCTTGCAGGTGCCCAGAGCTGTTTGGCTAGCAGTCTTCTTCCTTAGTTGGCCAGAGTCTGTGCACATAGGCTGGAAAAGTTGCTGCCATTTGGTGCAGTTCTCCTGCCTGTGATCTTGTGTTCCTTTAAAGCTTTCTCCACTGCTCTCCTGGGACATGACCAGGGAGTAAGTATGAATGTGAGTATGTGTGTGTGCATACACATATACACACATACACACGCATGTGCATGCGCTATGTACACACACAGCTATGTGCTCCTGCAAGGAGTGGGAATACCCCATTTTGTCAAGCCCGAGAGCTGATACCCCAGCATGTACCTTCAGGAAGACACCAAAAAGAAGGGGAGCCAGCCCCCTCCCATTGTCACCCAGCAGGTTCCAGGACCCCTACCTTCTGACACTATCCTCTCCTGCAGAGCTCTCCTTCAGGGTTTGGATGTGTGGTGGCAGCTTGGAGATAGTACCCTGCAGCCGGGTAGGCCATGTCTTCAGGAAGCGACACCCCTACAACTTCCCTGAGGGCAATGCCCTCACCTACATCAGGTAGGTCCCAGTGGGAAGCACCCTGGAGGAAACATAGGACCCTATAACTCTAGATACCCCTAGCCAGTTGCTCACCATGTATGTGCCTTTAGGCTGCCACCCAAACATCTCAGGCCTCAGTTTATCCATTTGCTTCCTACTCCCAGGCCTGACATTCTGAGATTCTGAGCATTTCTGGGTATAGACGATGAAGTTGGAGCATCGCTCCCAGCCTCTCTTGCCTTGATTCCCTTTGTCCGTGAATCTTGGAAAACTGTCCAAATAATGAATGTAGTACTCCATTCCGTCAATCTCAAGTGCTGGTCATGATTGCTGGTGTCCTTGCATTGACTTGGCCTAGTATCTGACCATGCATATCCCCATTCTTATGTTGCACTTGCCTCACAGGAGAATGGGCCATGTCTTGGAGGACCATCCCATGATCCATGGTCCTGATGGAGGTGGTGGTGGGTGTGGAGAGCTTCTTGAATATCCCTTCATGCTAAGGACATGTCTTCCCCTCATCTAGCCATGCTGGTTTGCGTAGATTTGTAGCAGTGCTTCCCACATAACTACTGAATGATCTAAAGTTTTGTCTGGCTTCTCTCATTCCATTTTTAAAAAATATTTTATTAATTTAACTTTATGTGTATGAATATATTGCCTGCATGTGTATAAGTGCACCTGTGTCATGCAAGGCCCACGAAGGTCAGAAGAGGGTGTCAGATCCCTTGGAACTGGAGTTACAGACAGTTGTGAGCCACCGTGTGGATGCTAGGAACCGAACCTGGGTCCTCTGCAAGAGCAGCAAGTGCTCTTAACTGCCGAACCATCTCTCTAGTCTTCCCTCCCCATCATTTTAATAATAAAAGTCATACAGGTCTACTGTGAATACATAGGCAGGACAAGATACTTAGTTTTTATATTATTACAGAGAAGAAAGTCATTTTTACCCATTCTTTCTCCTGTTCATCCTACTTGTCAAAACTATGGTTAATAGTAGTTAACTTATTTCAGGCCTACAAATAGAACTGACTGCTCTTAATAGATTGCTGGTCTATTGTGTCAGATCTTTACATACATTCTCCTGTACACAGTTTGTATATAGAGACCCACCACCCTCCATAGGTTTGTGTTAGTGTTAACAGGTTGCTCTTTACTCTCCCAGCAATACACTTCCTGGCCCATAGCATTGTATCACAGCCATCCTTCCTCATTGGCATTACTAGCTATGGCCTTTTTCCAAGGCTGCCTTGGTCCCCACTATATAGAACTATTCTGTTGAAGGGAATTTATTTTCCACCTATGTTTTGTTAAACAGTGATTCTTGTATATGTCCTTTTTGCCCACACACAGAGGTATTTCAATAGAACAGATTCCTTCAGACTGAGAGTCTGTCATGATCCTGACAGGTCATCCTCCAGAAAGACTGTACTAATTCATTTTTCCCCAACCAGTACTGTTTTGCCTATACTGCTGGGATTCTCATTGCTCTGTACTGCACAGAAAAGTCTTTTTCTTAAATATATGTTGTTACTCAACAAACACCAAGGGCTTGATAGTGCAGGCCTGTAATCCCAGCTACTTGGGAGACTAAAGTAGGAGGATTGAAAGTTCAAGGCCTGCAAGAGCTTCAGAGTGAGTTTAAGATCAGACTGGGTAACTTACTGAAACTGTATCTCAAAGCAAAAAATAAGCCAGGTATAGCAGCACATGCCTTTAATCCAAGCACTCGGGAGGCAGAGGCAGGTGGATCTCTGTGAGATCAAGGCCAGCTTGGTCTATATAATGAGTTTCAGGCCAGCTGTGGCTACAGGGAGACCTTGTCTCAAAAATACCAAAAATAATAAAAAATAAATATAAAAAAGTGAAAATAGGGCTGTGGTTATAGTTCAGTGGTAGAGTACTTGTCTAGTAGGCATGAGGCCCTAGGTTCAACCCAGCACCATTTAAAACAAGTATCAGCAGGGCTGGAGAAATGGCTCAGCGGTTAAGAACACTGGCTGTTCTTGCAGACGACTGGGGTTCAAATCCCAGCACCCACGTGGCAGCTAACAATAACTCCAGTTCTAGGGGATCTGACAGCCTCTTCTGTTCTCCGCGGTCATTGCACAACACAGGTGCACTTACCTACAACAGGCAATACACGCATACACATAAAATAAAAATAAAATATTTTTAAAAACAAACAAAAAATCAAGTATCAGCACTTACATTGACCCTAGCCCTCTCTAGTGACTTTGTTTAGCTCTTTTCTCTCCTTTTAGGAATACAAAGCGCACTGCAGAGGTGTGGATGGATGAGTACAAGCAGTACTACTATGAGGCCCGGCCTTCAGCCATCGGGAAGGCCTTTGGCAGGTGAGTCCCTCAGCTCCTTTGTCTGCCTCCCTCCTGCCTCCCTCCACCTATGTTTGCACAATCCAGCAACTATGAAGAAATTCATTGCACACTGGAGAGCCATTCACAATCTCCCTAGTAACAGAGTCCTGGCTTTTCTAGCTTCTCTGGGCTCTGGGTGGGAGTGCAGTACAGGGACAAGACCCTGGCCCCTGTATACCTCATGGGGGCAGATAACAAGCCATGAGAGCTGAAAGTATCATCCATTCAGTGCTGCCTGCTGAAAGAGCAGCATCTATCTGAAGTGGTGCTAAGGCCCAGCTGTCTGCCAAAGACTGCAGGTTTACCGCCACCATCCAAACCTGTCACGTGTTGGCCTTTTTTTCTGCATGGCCTGTGATGACCATAGTCTAAAAAAGCATTTTGAAAATGCAGAGGGATTCACTCAGGAGGCAGAGGCAGGCGCATCTCTGTGAGTTGGAGGCCAGCTTGGTCTCCATTAGTGAATCCAGGCCAGCTGTGGCTACAGGGAAACCTTGTCTCAAAAAGACCAAAAAAAAAAAAGTGCAGATGGATTATGGAATCAATTTAGTGAATCATGGTCAACATTTAAAAAAAGAAAGAAGGGGCTGGAGAGATGGTTCAACGGTTAAGAACACTGACTGTTCTTGCAGAAGACCTGGGTTCAAATCCCAGCACCCACATGGCAGCTAACAACTATCTGTAACTCCAGTTCCAGGGGATCTGACATCCTCGTCTGTCCTCTGCAGGCATTGCACAACACGGGTGCACTTACTTACATGCAGGCATAACACTTATACACATAAAATAAAAATAATAAATAAAATACTTAAAAAATAAAGAAAGGAAGAAGAGAAAAACACCATAGACTAGTTCAGAGGAGAATAGGTAATCAGAGTTGATTGCAATTTAGGGTAAGTATCGTTTTGTGAAACTCATTCATTTCAGTTGTGTTTATGCATGTGTGTGCACCTATATGTTCATGAACCTATGTGTCCAAGGGATGTAAGATGTGTTTATCTCCTACTTAAGGCTGTAATCAAACATGTTTGAAAACCTTGTTAATGATCAGTTGTAAATGAATCATCTTCCCTGTATTTATATATCTATTCTTTAAAAAGAAAAAGGCAGGCTGCTAGGTATTTCTTTTAATGAGGAAGTAACGTTTATGGAGGACCTCTCGCTAAGCACTCCATGTCCTCATGTGCCTTTTGATTCTCACAAAAACTTAAGGTGAGTAGTGGAGTCCTAGTTTACTCAAATAAGGGGCTTCAACGGTCAAATGGCCTTTGCCTTCTTTATAGACCCTGTCTCCTAAACGGGAAGATAGGAAAACTTCCAGGTCATAAAATCTGCCCTCTGCAAAAGTAAGGACAGTTTGTGTATCCTGACAGGAATAACGAGGAGTTAGAGGCCGAGGGAAAAGTGTGGTCCCTGGGAGCTGGGGCAGGGATTGGGATCCAGGAGACCTGGGTGAGTATTCAGGTCAGGGATTAGTATGAGACAGTGGACAAGACTGGGCAGAGCAGGCATGAGTAGCTACTGGTCCCTGACTGCCTCAGATATGTGGGAAGAGGGGTGCAGTCTCCTGGGGCCCAGGGAGGGTCGTCCGCAGTTCCCCCTGGGGCTTCCTTCCCATATTCTGGTCCTTTCTAAGCTGTCTCCCCCTTCAGTGTGACCACACGGATCGAGCAGAGAAAGAAGATGGACTGCAAATCCTTCAGCTGGTACCTGGAGAACGTCTACCCTGAGCTCACGTGAGTATAGCCATCTCCTGGACGGGAAGCCAGCGGCCTGGGCCCTGAGGGCTCTGGGGGAACTGAGGAGGCATTACTGGGAGTTATCAGTTAGGTGTGATAGGTACTGGATTTTCACCAGCCTGGCTCTCTAACTAGAAATGGATATTGTCTCCTTAGAAAAACAATACTGCATTATATAGTTGAGGAGGTCAGCCTGCCTTCATCGCCTTTGACACTGTTCTCTCCCTGCTGGGAGCTCATCCTGTGGAGATAAAGCGGCTTGAGCACAGGTCTGTTGAATACAGACCCTGCAGGCCTGTCTGCTGTGGGAAAATGAGACACAGCTAACACTGGGGCCAGCCCAGTGAATCACTGATACATCCTTTTAAACAAATATTATGCATCTATTAATATAATCACAAAGACTAAAAAAGCACAGGGAAATCTTTGCTCTAGCAAATAAAGAAGCAAAATGCAAGTGGGTTGCAGCTGTGTAGACATGTGCACACGTTCAGAACTGATACAGGAGACAGAGGAAGGAAATGGTGACTGACAGGTGGGGTGGGCCGTCCCAGGTTCCTTCTTCCTGTTTCTAAATCCTTTCCACTGTCTTCTCCACGCACATAGCTCATTTCCTTACCCTCCTCAGAGTTTGACTCAAATGTCTCTTCCTCTGGGACACTTGGTCTGAATACTATATTGACAGCAGCATCAATCCCTGGCATTCCCTGCTTGATTTTCCTCTGGCCTCATCAGCATTTAGCATACACCTGGCTGGTTAATTTGATGCCATCTCCTGTGCTTGCCTGAAAGCTCCCCAAGGCAGAGACTGTCACCTGTTTTGTCCATGGCTCTATCTCCAACACCTAGAATAGTATGGCTCACAGAATAGGCACTCGGTAAACATCTTTTAAGATGAACATTTTAAAAAATATCTATTATTTTTATTTTATGTGTATGCGTGTATTGCCTGCATGTAGGTAAATGCACCCGTGTCGTGCAATGCCTGCGGAGGACAGAAAAGACTATTGGATCCCCTGGAACTGGAGTTACAGAGAGTTGTTAGCTGTCATGTGGGTGCTGGGATGCAAACCCAGATCTTCTGCAAGAACAACCAGTGTTCTTAACCGCTGAGTCATCTCTCCAGCCCTTAGATAAACATTTTTGAGTGAATAAATTTCAGTGATCAAGACTTGGTAGTGTCTGGAATTAGCCTCCTCCCTCTGGAGTTGTTACCTCTGGGAGCCGGCTCATCCCCTTGCTGTCCTTTAAGGATATCAGGGCTTTCTGGAATACTCCACCCCTCAGCCTACATTTCTTGAAAGGAGGGAAACCTCTGCCTTCTGAGGACAGATCTAATGTCTGGAAGGTTCCCGCTGTTAGGTTGTAGCCAAACCCGGGGAAATAGCTTGAACTAATAGCTGAACCCAGATAATATTAACCCAAAATTCCAAATACAGCCTGTGTGAAAAGCAGTAATACCAAACAGACTACAGGAAATTTCTAAGAAATTCCAGAACAATCTGAACCAAGATAGCCTCCCTGGAAGCAAGTTGGCAGCCTGAGTAACTAGTCCCAGACCCCTGGATCCTAGCTGAGAAGGGAAAAGCATTAATTCACAAGGATGCGGTAAATAACTTCCTTGAGAACCTGTGCTCAATCATGTGCCACTTCTGAGACACTGAAGAATAAAGGGCAGCCGTCCCTACATTTGGATGGTACTTTGGATACCAGGCCTGGGGCAAGAGCTAAGAAGACTGTGGGGAGCAGCACTGGGGGCGATAGAGATGGGTCCTCCCTCTCCACGTCCCAGGCTCACTATCACAGTCCCCCTGGCATCCTTGAGGCCCCAAAGGAAGAAGGGCTGTACCCAAAACCTGGATCTATCCCAAGACAGGACAGCAGATTAATCATGACATGTTAAACCAGAAAAGGGAGTCTCCTGCTGTTGACTCTGTGGCTTGTTTCTGTCTAGATGGCTCAGCTACAGTACCAAGGGTGAGGGGCCAGTGGTAGATCATGTTGTTGGTAAGGAGATCTATTGGATCAAATGATGCCAACTCTCCTCCACACAGAAGATTGCAAGATTGCCCACATTGCTCAGGTGGTCACCACAGAGACAAGTTAAGAGAGCTTTCACTTTGTTAGGCCTGCATGCAGTCCTGTCACAGTTCTACTCTGTGTCCAGGCAACTCTGCGGCTGGCTTCAGCCACTGCCAATTTATTACTCTGATTAGGACTGTCCTGAGCAGTAATGCAGACTATGCATTGCACAAGCATACCACATTGAGGGTGCTAGTCACATAGTGAACATTGTACATTTCTTTTTTTTTAATTTTAAAAAAAATATTTTATTATTTTATTATTATTTTATGTGTATGCATGTATTTCCTGCTTGTAGGTAAGTGCACCCATGTCGTACAATGCCTGCAGAGGTCAGAAGAGGCTGTCGGATCCCCTGGGACTGAGTTACAGACAGTTGTTAGCTGCCATGTGGGTGCTGGGATTCAAACCCGGGTCTTCTGCAAGAACAGTCAATGTTCTTAACCACTGAGCCATCGCTCCAGCCCCACATTGTACATTTCTTATAATAATTCCAAACAGATAGCAGGAATCATTCTAACCAAACTAGCGTATCGTGACTATTTTCTAATAGGTAGAAGTAAAGCAACTTGAACCAATGGGTACCTATTGCTATTTCTGTGAAGTCACCGTAAGGTCTAATGGCAGCACTGCTTAGAGGAGAGCCACTGAGGGAAGCAGATGCCAACACAGAAGAGCCACCCACAGACAGGACAGCTCGACCTGCTATGCCAGGAAGCTGTGGAAGGGCGGTGGGGACTGCCACCGTAGCTGTCCAGAACTGCTGTAGCAGGGACACCTCAGGAGCTGCATCTGTTCTTGATGTTGCTGCCCAAGTAGTGTTCCTTCCACAAGCATCACTGGACAGACGCACCTCTGACAGCCAATCACTTGGCACCTGTCCCTTAGCAACAGGGAGTCGGGAGAAGAGCATAGGAGGCTCAGGAACAACCCTGCCCTCCTTGAAGCGTTCCCCTGGAGCGCAGTTCTCAAAGGCCCTGGAAAGCACCTTGTCTGGATGCTGGGGGGAGGGTGAGGCTATTGTCCTAAAGATAGACAGTGGAAGCATGTCACTTGGGATGAGAAATGGGGAGTGGCAGGGCAGTGGCTCTGCATGGCAGTGGGTAGTGCTGCTAGAGAGCCAGCTCTGGGAGGCCTGATCTTCCTATTTTTCGAAGAAAGCCTAGCTCAGGCTTTGCTGTGACCTTAAAGCTTTTTTGAGTTACGTTTAAATATGTGTGTGTGCATATGTATATGCAGATGTGCTTGCACATGTATGCATAGGCATGTGGAAGCCAGAAGTCAACCCTGGGTGTCTTCCACTATAGCTCTCCACTTCACCTTCTGAGTGAGAGTCTCTCACTGAATTTAGGGCTCACCAACTGGCAAGCAAACTCTGGGGATCTGCCTGTCTCTGTCTACCCCCAGCACTAGGGTTACAGATGTACATGACCATACCTGGCTTTTACATGGGTGCTGAGGATCCAAACTCAGGTCCTCATGCTTGCATGGCAGGCACTTTACCAACTCAGTCATCTCCTAAGGCCTTAAAAATGTTTTATTACATATTACATTTTAGTTAATCAATTAATTGAGTTGCAGGGAGTATGTATGTGCAGGTCAGAGAACAACTTTCAAGAATCAGTTCTCTCCTTCTACCATGTGGGTCCTGGGAATTGAGCTCAGGTTGTCAGGTTTAGTGGCAGGTGCCTTTACCCCCTGAGTCATCTTGCCAGGCCCCCTCACCCCCCTTTTTCATTGCTAACTGATTAAAAGCAGCAGCAATTCCTCTGTGAAGGTTGGATGGAATGTTTGGGGCCACATTCAGCCCAGGACTCTCAGCCATAACCTCTTCTCAGAAGTCACAGAACTCTGGCCCTGGCATGAGGTCCAGGTGGTAGATGCTGTCCCCTGGGTGTGAAGGCTCCCTGAGAGAAAATCAGTTCTGGGGTCCCGTGGGCTCTTGAGCAGCCTGAGGAAGACTTCCTTTGACTGAGACCCTGAAAAATGTCCACATCAAAGAATGACAGGCATGTCCCCTCCCTGGACCTAGGTTCCCTCTAGATAGAGGCAAGGAGGCAAGGAGCATTAGGATCAGGGTCAGATTCTGAGCACTCCTGGTTCCCTAACATATTATGGAGGGTCCATTATGGAGGATCCATAATTCAGGACCTCTCAAACCCAGGTATATAAGCTTGTGGCAGCTTCCATAGGTTTGCTTTCCAAGGTTGCCAGTGCATGTGCACATGTATGCTTGTGTCTTAAACATTTTCCTGGGCATATGAGATGGCTTAATAACATAATAGCTTGAAACCTCCCTCAGCAGCAGTTGGAGCATTTCTCCATGATTCTAGGTTTTCTTTTACAGTCATTTGTGATAGCTGCAAGGATTCTATACTATGGATGACCAGAATGTATCTAGCCCAGCCCCAGCTGCTGGGTAACCAAGAGTTTCCACGGTTTTTAATATAAATCACTCTGAAGTGAGTATCTTTTAACACACTCAGCATTATTCCCATAGGATAAATTCCTTCAAGTGGTATTGTTAGTTCACAGATATGTACATTTTGGCCAGGTGTAGTGGCCTACACCTTTAATCCCAGCACTAGGAAGGCAGAGGCAGGTAGATCTCCGTGAGATGAGGCCAGCCTGGTCTACATAGGGTTCCAGGCCCACGAGGGCTACATAATGAAATCTAGTCTCAAAACAAAAACAAACAAACTAAAGAGCCAGGCCTCCCAGCACTTAGGAGACAGGCTGGCAGATCTCTGAGATCCAGACCATCCTGGTCTACATAGTGAGTTCCAGGTCAGCTGGGGCTACAGAGAGACTCTGTCTCAAAAAAACCAAAAAATAAAAAAGACATGCACATTTTTAAGGACTTTGATACTTAATTCCACATTGCTCTCCCGTAAAGTTTAACTAATTTATGCTTTCACTGTTAGGGTAAGAGAAGATCTAAGTGTCACAACTATTACCAACTCTGGGCATTTGTTTTATATATATTTGCACAGTGCACACACATATATGGTAAAAAAATAATGATTGCTGTCCTAACATGTACTCTTCAATCATTAGCGAGATTGAACATATTTTCATATTTGTCCATTTTCAGTTAACCACTCTAAAATAACTCCTCTGTCATTTTGAGATTGGATGTTGAAGCCACCTTTAGACTCCCAGGCGCCCTCTTCTGGACTGAGAAGCCCTATGTTTCAGGCCTAAGTGTCCTCCCCGGGTCCCCTGGGTCTCAGGCCTGACCTCCAGGGTAGTCCCCGGGGCTCCCATAAAGAAACTACTGCGGCTGAAGCTGCACCTGCCTCTTCTCACAGCCCTCCTCACATACCCCATAACCCCCACTCCTCAAACCAGGCCTGCAGGTCCTAGCAACCTCGGTGACTGGATGCTGCCCTCTGGAGGAGGGGAAAGACAAGCCAGGGTGGGCAGAGGACTAATCTGAACAGTGCCTTTCTCGTTAGTGTCCCGGTGAAGGAAGTGCTCCCTGGTGTTATTAAGCAAGGAGTCAACTGCTTAGAATCCCAAGGCCAGAACACAGCTGGTGACTTTCTGCTGGGAATGGGAATCTGCAGAGGGTCTGCTAAGAATCCTCCACCAGCCCAGGTAAGCTGCTTAGGGCCCTCTGGTAAGGCCTAGGGACTGAACAGGAGCCAAGCATTGGCCAGGAGGCGGTGGGGGGTGGGGTCAGGCCTTCTCTTTGCTTATTCTTGTCCTCTTTGTCTGCATTCTCCATAAACCTTCTGTTCTCCTAGTTTGTTTCTCCATTGCTGTGAAAAAACACTCTGACCACTACCAACTTGGGGAGGAAAGGGTTTATTCAGCTTACATCTCCTGGGTCACAGTTCATCAGGGAGGAACTCAGGGCAGGAACCTGGAGGCAGGAGCTGCCGCACAGGCCATGGAGGAACACTGCTTACTGGCTTGCTCCCCTGGCCCCTGCTGAGCCTGCTTTCTTATGCAACATAGGCCCACCTGCCCAGGAGTGGCACCACCCGCAGTGGGCTGGGCCTGCCCACGTCACTCAACAATCAAGAAAATGCCCCACAGACATGGCCACAGGCCAGTCCAATGGAGGCAATTTCCCAATTGAGGCTCCCTCAACCCAGGTATGTCAAGTTGACAGGAAAGCTGTCCAGCACACCTTCCTTCCCAGGGTTTATTTTGCTCCTGTTGCATGCTCATCCTTTTTTCACCCTGTGTCCCTCACTTCCTCTTTCTAAAGGAAGAAATGCTGCCTAAACCATGCCCAGTTCTCTGTTGGGATGAAGCTTAGGTCAGCTGTGTGATGGGCTGAAGGTCTCCAGGACTCTGTGTGCAGATAGCAAATGTATGAGTCCTGGAGCCCCCAGTCCTGGGCCAGCTGCATGGCCAGCCTGATTCATATCCCTTCATTTTCTTCCATCCCCCAGCATCCCTTGGAATCTCCTTGATTGCCCTCTGTCTGGCTCCAGCTAAGCCTCTTCATCGTAATATTTGATTATGAACATTTTAAAACAAAGAAAAATTGAAATCGAACAATGAATACCATACACACTTACCTTTTGCTTCTATAATTATTTGTAGAAAGCTCTAAAAAAAAAAAATTACCCAACCTATTTGCTTTATTGCCTGTCCACCCACATCTGTCCCTCCTGAGTTGCCCTTTCCCTGTCTTGCAGGCATGGCTGTTCAGTGACCACCTCATCCAGCAGCAGGGGAAATGCCTGGCTGCCACCTCTACCTTAATGTCCTCTCCTGGGTCCCCAGTAATACTGCAGACATGCAACCCGAGAGAAGGCAAGCAGGTAAGCTTCTACCCCCACGCACAGATGGTCAGAAGCCCCACAGATGGGGCAGAGATGGCAGACCCTGACAGGGCTGTCTCGGGCTTGAGGCACATGCTCTCCAATAAGCCCTCCAGAATGAGGATCTATGGAGCCCAAGGAAGCATCTAAGCCCAGCATGTTATTTCACCCCTGAGGAAATACTTCAGCTAAGTGTTTGTTTAACATTCCTGCCAGTCTGAGGGCAAGAACAATTTGTCTTGTTAATGCTGCATGCCCAGGCCTTAACAACTAGAGAGCTTGAACAAGTGCTAACTCTGACTGCCAATCTGTGCTAGGAGTTTTGCATAGATCATTGCATTGCCACCTGGTGAGGTGGTTCTCAACTAACCCTACTGTGCAGTGAGTAAGCCAGGACTCTGAGCATAGGCTAGCAGGTCACGCTTTTGGGAAGGAGGGGAGCTAGATAGGATTTAAACCCAAGTTGGTGTGATTCCTAAGCCCACAGTCTGAAGCCAGAACTTGGTAAGGATTTCTTGAGTGGGGAAACTGGCCAGATACAGTGATTTGCAAGCTAGCATGATCAGCCTCAGGGAGGTTTACTTGTAGAAGGAAAAACTGATGCACAGGTCATAGCTCAGCCAATGACGGAGAACTGGAAGCCAGATTTCTGGAGTCAGTCCCCTTCTTCCCTGCTGCTCTCTTCATGGCTGAAAGGGCTTCCTGCTTCCCAGAACACTGGGTCCAAGGCCAAAGTTGTTCCAGCCTTTCCCCAGCTCACCCTACTGGTAACGCAGTCAATCTGCAGATTATGCAAGGGATGAGGAGAGGCCTGGCTCTCAGATTGGGCCCGAAGGGCTTTCCTCCCACGCTTCTTCTGTTTGCCTGGGTCAGCTCTTTCTTTAGGGATGATTGGAAGTTTGGTATTCTGTTCTAGAGAAGCAACCAGATCCTCTCCTAGTCAGAGAGAGAGAGAGAGAGAGAGAGAGAGAGAGAGAGAGAGAGAGAGAGAGAGAGAGAGAGAAAGAGAGGGAGAGATATTGATTGTTGGGTCACCTTCGGATGCAGCTTGTCCTCCTCCCTGCCCTACAGTGGGGCTGGTTGGTACAGTCTACCCTTCAGCAAGAGCCTCAACCCCATCCTGAGAAGAAAACCTTGAACTCTTGAACACTTCCTTCATGTTGAGGCCAGAGCTTGCAGGTATCTGCCCAGGCGCCCTCCTCTCAAATACTTATAGTACTTTGTGAGCCAGCGAGGATAGAGGTGCTTGTTACTTGCTGCCATTTCTGACGACCTGAGTTTGATCCTTGGGATCTACATGGTCACTAGCTGCATGGTTTCTGCTCCTACAAGCCCTGCCAGGCCCCTGAGCACTCTGGGTACCATGCCTTTCCCCACCATGGAGGACAGATAAGCAGCTCTCTCACTGCCAAAACCTTCTGGAATCTGAACTTCTCCTTCTGGTCCAATTTGGCTCTAATGCCAAACCAGACCATTTGGGTGGTTTCATATGTCCTAGGGGCTCCTGAGTGTTAGACCAGGTATAGTGGCATTTCAGCTCAATGATTCCCCAGGTTCCTCATTCACACAACAAGGGGCTCCTGCCCAGTCTGTGGAATGTGCAAACGCTGAGACTGTGGGGATGGGAGAGTGCCTGGACACATATGGTGTCTCTGCACAGGCTCAGAACTGAGTGGCTTCCAGGAGAGTTGGTGAAAGTGACTGCCTGGTTGGAAGTGAGAATTCTAACACTGGCTAATTCATTTGTTCATCACTGCCCTGGGTATCTACCCCTCACCAAGGAATGTGCAGATCATGTTGGTCACAGGAGGACAAAAAGAAGGGCATGGACTTAGCTCCCAAGGCACTTATAACTGGTGATGGAGGTGAAAAGGGACAGCCACTGCACTACTGAAGGCTAGATGCCAACGCAGCATTAGACCTAGGCTGCACAGGCCAGCAAGGCCCCTGCCACCTAGACATGTGGTCGGCAGGATCTCCTGGGGGAGATGACGGCCATAATATTCCCAGCTAGGCAGTTGGAGGTTTGGCCAATGGAATTAAATGTGAGGGACTGGAAGAACACAGGGCAGTAGCATGTTATGAGTCTCAGGGGGAATGCATGCTCTTTACTACCCACCGCCCCCAGGTGCTTAGGCTTCTGGCTGAGGCCACACATGACAGAGAGACTACTACAGCCCCTACCTTCCATGCTGCCCACCCCACATTCCCTGTAGCCTTTACTCTGGCCCCATAGCTGAGTGCAGCTCATTTCCATCCCCTAGCTGTTCAGTGAAAACACAAGTTCTGCCATCTCTCATGGAGGACAAGGTAGATCTAAGAGGGGAGAGGGTTGCATGGAAGGAAAGCAGTAAAGAAAAAAATCAGTCTCTTTGCTATTCAGTCTTTTCTGCACCTTAAAACCTGGATCTCGGCCTCTCATCCCTTCTCCATGTTCCAGATAACACACCGTTCTCTATCCAGACCTTTCTAAAACGTTCTATGGGAACAACTTCCCTCTCACCTTGTCAAACCTGAGAGAGGAAGACATCAGGAACCCTTCGTGATTCTACAATAGGGAACTTGAGTTCTCCAACCATCCATCCCACTGTACGCCATGACTGGAAAGATGGTGGCCATTCCCCACCAGAGGCTCTAGGTGCCCTGACTCACACCTACTGGCCAGGTCAGGCATGTGTGGCTACAAGAGGAAGAAATCTTCTTTCCCAGAAAGAGGAGATTCACCTAGGCCAGGACTCACCAATTCAGTGGCTAATGAGAGCTGGTGGGAGGCTGCTAGAGGAGAAAAGTCAGGACCAGATAGAGACTCTGGTGAACTGGAGAACAAGAGCCCCACGTAAGGCACAGGGAGCAGGCAGAGCCTCAGCCCAGGCAACTGATGCTCCATGAAAAACTGGGCCCAGTGTCCAAACAGAAATAGGAAATCAGATCTGTATGTGGTAGCAGTGCTAAATTTTAAATAACACCGTGCAGGCCAAATAAATACGTCTCTGGGTTGGACACAGCCTATGGGTATCAGTGTTGCCTCCTTTGATCTAGACAGTAACTTCGCACCACACCACAGAACAAAGTGCCCCCAGAGAAAGAGGGGCTTTGAGCCTGGGGTAACATCGGTCCTTTATAGAAGGGACACAGTCTCTTTTAAATGAGGGGAACAAAGACTGGGGAGATGATGGCACATGGTTAAAGTGCTTACTGTTCAAGCCCAGGATTTGAGTTTGGATCCCAACACCCACATAGGAGGCAGGGCTTAGCCTGTAATCTTAGCACTGGGGAGACAGGCGGGAGGCTCCTTTGGGCTTGCTGGCCAACCAGCCTAGCTGAACCAGTGAGCTCCAAATTCAGTAAGAGACCCTGCCTCAGAAAATCAGGTGAAGAGTGATAGAGGAAGACACCACATCAACCTCTGGCCCCCATGAATGCACATGTGCACACACGGGTATAACATGTGAATACATACCTATGCATACACTACAGGCACACACAATAAATAAATAATAAATAAAGGAATGAATGAATGAATAAATGAATAAATGAATAAATACATTGTTGTGTCCTAGGTATACGCAGTATTGTATCCACACATGTGAAATGAAGGTACAAAGTACTTTTTGTCCTTGTGGTGCTGGACAGTTTGCAGCCTTATGCACATTGAGCAAGCACTCTACCACTGAACCACACCCCCAGCCCATTTCTTCTTATTTTTAACCATTCTCTCCCTCCTTTACCCTCTCCCTTACACCCAGAAATGGAGGAGAAAAGGATCTTTCATCCAGAATTCAGTCAGTGGCCTCTGCCTGGAGACAAAGCCTGCTCAACTGGTGACCAACAAGTGTCAGGTGGATGCCCAGGCCCAGCAATGGCAGCTGCTGCCACACACATGATGGTAGCCCCCAGCCTCCTGTACCTTTGCATGAGACTTGGGGACTGGAAAGGGGTTAGGGTGGGGGAGTGTCAGTCAGGCCGTTTCCATCTCCTCACATTTCTGCCGGACCATCAGCAAACACCCCTGCCACAACGTGCTTCTCCAAAGCTAGTAGGGGGTAGGGGACATGTCCCATGCCCTTTGTGCCATCCCAACACTCCAGGAGAGGAGACAGTGTGCAGCTGTCACTGGGCAGAGACTGAGCAGGTGCTCCTGGCCCTTTGTCCTCTCCCTTGGCCCTTTCTGAGGCCAGGATAGTGATATGTGGGCCTTTCCCGTGCTGCCTGGGGAGAACAAGAACAGAAGGCCACAGAGGGGCCAAGTGGAGTCACAGGGCCAGCCTGAGGTCAACATGAGAGGAGAGGTGCCAGCATGTGTGGAGAGGATGAAGGTTGGGAAGAGGGGGGTGCAGGGGTCTGCCAGCAAGAGAGGACAGGAGCAGCAGCTAGAGAACAGGAAGGAGTGAGGCTTAGGTCAGGGGGGTGGGTGATAGAGGGGTGCATCCTGGGAGCAGAGGATGGGGGTGGATAGAGGATCAGTGAAGCACCAGGACTCTTTCCAGGACATCATCCCGCCCATGCTTTGCCAGCCCCAGGGCCTGAGCCCCACATATGCCCACAGTCCTCACCCTGTAGGGGACCAGAGTCTTAGCAAGAGACTGCAGAGGCATCTGGAGCTTAATTTATTAAGTGGATTTCACTTCCACTTGGACATGGGTCAGGCTGAGACCTCTTTCTTGAGCCTTTATGACCAATTGGTACTCTGTCCCCATGTCTGGCTCCATGCCATACACCCTGGAATACCTCCATCTTCACTCACTGTTTTGAACCCCCACTTTCTCAAAGGTCTTTGCCTCTGTAAACACATCACCATGAATCTGTAAGGGCCAAGTCATTCAGGACAAATCCCATCCTTAGACCCTTTTCCAAATAGGAGCAATTCCCTCTATTGCAGAGGGCTGGGAACTGGTTGGTGGCTCCTGTCAGTGTAGAGAATTTCCATCTCTTCCCACCCTTACTACTGAGAACACAGGTGTCACACTCCCCTTGGCTTTGTCCTGGAATCCATTCTGCCATGCCCCCATGTCCCACTCCCTATCACCACTAGGTCAAGTATGATCTTGGGTAAAAGGCTGTTGGTAACCACAGCCCCTCAAGTCTCCCTCCCAAAGCAAAACAGCCTGAGGTGGGCACTCCCACCCAGAAGTACCCACTCTTTCATAGGCCAAACAGTCATACAGTTCGGAATCCACAGGTTCCAGAAGATCTAGAACTCCCCAAATTTGTCCCAATATATTGCATGTGTGTGAACATATCTAATTTCTTAGGGGAGAGAGTCTGGATTTCTCCTGCTTCTTAAAGAGGTCCTTGGTGTCCTGAGGGTCTGGTCTGAATCTCTGCTCTGGATTGGCGCTACCATCTTTCTGAGCCGCCACCTTCATCTCCCTCCCTGCTGTGCCCTGACCTCTCCATATGACCCTTGGAATTGGAAGCTAAGTATCTGGTCTGCAGTACTCACTCTGGAAGGTTCTCCAGCCGTTTCCTTACACCTCTGCTCTCACCAGCATCCTCTTAGCAGTGCTCCTGTGCCAAGTATGTATGCATCCCTGGGCTCAGTGTAGGCGCCCTTTACCTTGGTGACCAAGCTCCCATCCTGTTTCAATGTCTCATCCACCACCATCTGCAGACCTGGCCTTGTCCATCTGGGAAGCCTCCTGTTGCAGCCCAGGACAGAACTGGAGCCAAGGTGGAGGCTTTTCCTAGAGGCTTGGGCCCTGTTCCAGTGTGGACCATGGGGCTGAGAGCCTGGGCTTCTTTGTGAATGTAAGGACTGCTGCTCAGAGGACCTTCGAGAAACTCTCTCCATTTCCTATGGTCGGACCAAGCTTAGCACTTGTCAACCATCCTTTGTGGGGACTCAGTACAACTCTGTTTTGCTTTTCCTCTTCTCGACCAAAGCATGTACCACTAACTGTCCTTGAGGACACTGTCTTTATGAAACATACCTGGAATAAAACCACTTCTTACGTGACCACATGTGCTAGTGCATTCATTTCTAACTTTCCAAACCTTCAGCTAGCTTTCCCTGCTTATGGGGAGTCAGACAGGTCTCTGTTCTGTAAAACTGAACTTGTTCCAGATGAACCCTCTCTTGTGGCTGGGGGCCAACTGTTTTGTGGGGAGCCAGCAGGTAGGTAGCCCCTCTACTAGGGCAGCCTAGAACCAGAACCCAGGAACCAATGTGTTGGACTGAGCCCAGTCTCCTCGTTACTTGTCACATAGGTACTATTGCTGCTTAGAAATAGGAATCCAAGGGCTTTTCAGAATAGATCCAGCCACCCCACCAAGCTTGCTTTAAACAACCCCTCCTTCCCTAGGAGCCATCCTTCCCAGCTACCCTTCCCGGGTGTACTCACAGAAGGTAGCAGCAGTTCAAAACAGCAAGAATTATTTTAGAAGAGTCCTACCAGCCTAGGTCTGCCTGATTGGGTAGCAGATGCTCTGCTTAACAGTTTCCATAGAAACCAATAGACAACCTCCACCATTTCTGTGATCAGAATTAACCAACCCAGATAAAAATAAATATTGATTTGGCCCATATATGAACTGCAGTGGCCAGGGTGTCACTGACTCCCCCTCCCCTTTCCCCTGCCACTTAGGGCAGTTAGCTGTGAATTTCCCAGAATTTGTGACACCCTTGCCTGAGGGGCCTGGAACAAAGCCTGACTGACTAGCTACAGAGCACACAACTTGGCTACAGATCTGGTCCATGTAGAAGCTCCTGACCAGTCTGCATTCATCCCTCTGCCCATCCATCCCCTCTAGGAATCCAGCCGACTGTCAGCTCCTTCTCAGTCAGGGGTCCTCCTGGCCAGGCTGGGCCAGCTTTCCACTTTCCTCTATTTCACTCCCAGCCTTAAGGGGCTCTTGTGCTGGCTCCCCTTGAGGCAGGGTTTTTTTTTTTTGTTTTTTTGTTTTTTTTTGGTCTTTTTGAGACAGTGCCTCTCTGTAGCCCCAGCTGTCCTGGAACTCAATATTTAGACCAGGCTGGCCTTGAACTCACAGAGATCTGCCTGCTTCTGCCTCCCAAGTGCTGGGATTAAAAGCATGTGCCACCACACCCAGCTGAGGCACACTTTCTTCCCTCCAATCTGCCTCTCCACAAGACCTGGTTTTTTGTTGCTGTTGTTTTTTGGGGGTTGGGGATTTTGGACTTTTTTTTTTTATCCTAGCTCCAGTTTGTTCTGGGAACTAGGGCCTTTTCCTGGTACCTTAGTGTTAAGGTTCAGATAGCCCTGGCCCCTCACCAACAGGATCCCAAGGACTTCTCATCCTCCTGAGAAAAGGGAACCTAGCTGATAAGCACCTTGGTCTTTGAAGTCAAGAGAAGCAGACTTTTCTCCACTGTTTGGCCAACACAGCAGGCTTCCCCTTTGATCTCTAAAGAGGACAGGTTTTAACAGTCCTGCTCTCCCACTCTCCACCCCTCAACTTTAAAAAAAATACGTCTTCCTGCCTTCTGCAGGAAGCAGAAGCCTCCCTTTTAAAAGACCCCAGCTCAAGACCGGGGCAGACATTTTCCCTGCCCGGAAGGGAATCTGCCCCATGTGTTCCTTTGCTAATAAACCCTATTTTGATGGAGTTTTAGCTGTGCCTCGGTGCCTCATCATCCATTCGCTTGTTCTCCACCAACTTTTTACCTATCACTTAGGAGCTCCTGGAAGAATCGGTCTGCCCATTTACCATGGACTTCACATAAGCCTCCAGAGGAGTCCTTAATGCAAGTGTGGAGGTGGGGGCAGGAGGGGCGTTTACTCTAGGGCCTCTCTGTCCAGCAGAAAGCAGTTCCTGGATCCTGGAACTTGGCTCCAGTTTTTCAATATTTTGTTTGTCTGGTTGGCTGGCCGGCTGGTTCATTGGTTGGATTTTGCAGTGCCGCGGATGAGACTTGGTGCCTAGTGCGAGGCAAGCGTTCACGACCACGGCACCATTGCCCTTCAGGACTCTTCCACCACCCTGGCCGGGGTGTGGTCCTCTCCACTAGGGAATAGGAAAGGAAATCTGGAAAGGCCAGAGTTCACATTGTCCCCACAACCACACCCGACAATGTTCTGTCTTATGTTTGTATGCCCTGTGTGCTGATATGATTCACAGCTCTTTCAGGAGGGAGGGGACCGAGAGTGGGCCTCTCTGCCAGGCACACGTGGAAGACCTGGCTATGGAGTAGGGGTGGGGCCACACTCTCCCGGCCAGCTGCTACTGGTGGAGTTGCCCAGCCGTATTGAAGCTCTGATGCCATTTGAAGCCAGCTCTGTCTTGCTGAACTCAACTCATGAAGTGCAGGGAAGGGTAGACAGACACTGGGCACAGACTCAAAAGACCCCATCAGCCAGGTCTGGCCCATGCTGCAGCTTACCAGCCATGTGGCCTGAAAAAACTTGCATCTTTGGTTTCCTGACCTGTAAAAATGGAGGCACTCAAAACCCTAGAGGATTTTTGTGAGCAGTTATTTATTTAGTGATTGCAAAGAATCTGAGCCTTTCTAACTGCTTTAGTAAGCCTGTGTTATTACTACTATTAATAATCATTTTCTAGCCGGGCATGGTGGTGAGCCCCTGTGATTCTAGCATTCTGAAGGCTAAAGGTGGTGGGGTCATGAATCTGAGATTAGACTGGCTACATGAGAACCTGTCTCAAAACAAACAATTGACAAGGCCTGCCCTTGTAAGTCTCAGGATGACTTTCCAGAACATGGGTTTCTGTGGAAGAGTGGGCAGTTGTTTAGGTTAAGTGGGTAACAGTAAGTGGCCTTGGTCCTGCAGCCATCAGGTGGTGGCTTTAAGACTGACCTTCATTCTGATGGATGCTGGGAAGGTGGGTAGGCTCTGGGCAGCAGTGTAAGTGCTGGGGGATGCCTTATGGATGTTCCAGACACCTATGGCACTATCATTATGTGCGTCTTAGAGCACAAAATAGGGTACTGAGCACCTACCCCACCAGGGATTCGGAATAAGCGCATAGAAGCTTCTGAAGGTCAAGGCTGTCCAGTTCCTAATATCACACAGCTAAGCCGACTTCTGCTCCCTTCCCTCCCCTTCCTCACCTTGAGGTTTAGTCTTCATCTTCTCCCTCTCTTTCTTTCCTTGCAGTGCCAGATAAGTACTCTACACTGAGCTATGAATTAAAATTTTTTTTTTACTTATTTTACTCTACGTGTATGAATGTTCTACCTGCATGTGTGTAAATGATTCCCTGTTGTATAGTGCCCATGGAGGCCAAAAGAGTTCCAGATCCCCTGGAACTAGAGTTAAGAATGGTTGTTAGCTGCCATGTAGGTGCTGGGAACTGAACCTAGGTTCTCTGAAAGAGCAGCCAGGGCTCTTAACCACTGAGCCATCTCTTCAGCCCCAGCTATACGTTTTTTTGGTTGGTTTTTTTTTTTTGAGAAAGGGTCTTGTGTAGCCCAGGCTGGCCTCCAACTCACTATGTAGCTGAAGATGACCTTGAACTTCTGATCCTCCTGCCTCTGCCTCCTGAGTGTTAGAATTACATGCATGTGCTACCACACCTGATTTTTAAGAAGTACTGGGGCCAGGCATGGTGGTGTATGCCTTTAATCCCAGCATTCCAGAGGCAGAGGCAGGCAGATCTCTGGGAGTTTGAGGCCAGCCTAGTCTACAAAGCAAGTTCCAGGTCAGCTGGAGCTACGGGGAGACCCTGTCTCAATAAGACCAAAAAAAAAAAAAAAAAAAAAAAAAAAAAACTGGGGAACCAACCCAAGGAC